AATAAGGCACAACTGTTCAGTTGAACTGACCTATTTGCAAGACAAAAAGATTAATTCAATGAAATAATGGAACAATCTACCAGCTCAGCTTTTAATATGTGAAACTTCCAGGGAAGTTTCAGAGGAGGGAACTGTTGGGGCCCAGGGCAGGCCACCCGAAAATATCCCACAATGGTATTTTGATTATTTTGACCTGAAGTTACTTGTCTGGCTTAAGTAAAGTTTTGGCCCTTCTCTCTCTGTTCCACATGAAAGCAGGAAATAAATCTTCCATGTGAAAGGCACCCTTCCTGCACCAGGAGACAGAGACATCCCTATCGCTAGAGCTAGAGAATTCAGGAACAAGGAGCCCATATAAACAAACCTTGTTACTTTTACTAATTTACCACCTCAAGCATAAACTTTGATCAAATTCCTCACTAATTATGTACCCTAAATCTAAGGGGTTTTTTGTCTTGTTAAATCCTTACAAATTTATTGTTTCTTTGTGTAAAAAGAAATTTGTTTGCTGCTTGCTTTGTTCACTGTCTGAGCATCATTTTTATGGTCTCCCATATGTACATATTAAATTGATTTTTCTCCTGTTATCTGGTCTTATGTCAATTTTATTATTACTCTAGTCATAAGAACTCAAGCTATGGGGAGGGGGTGTAATTTCCCTTCCCTCAGAATTTTAAAATTCTGTATTTCCAAAGTACAGAATTTTCATCCAGTGTCCAGTAATCTACGGTTGACGTAGCATCCTGCCTAGGGAAGGTTGAGAAATTAAATATTTCAGCTTTGCAGATTTCAAAGTGGAAGACCAGAAGTTTGAATGGTTCTTGGGCAGCCAAGGTTCACATCTGCCCATAACTGATATTCTGCATGACTTGATGTTGGACAAATAAGGCACCAAAACTTACTAGCTAAAAAATGAAATTCTTTGGCCCAAATAGGAGTATATCAGGCTTTGGTAATGCAGTCTTTCACAAAAGTTTAGGCCCCTGCTGAAACAAAACAGATAAACTATGTAAGCTATTTAAAGAAAAATAAACTGGAGTGTTTGCAGAATGCTTTAAGACAGTGTCCATGAAATATTGTTCTTTAGCGAATACAGTTGATTTCTCAATAACACAAGCCAGATGTTGGTCAGATGCTAGATATATCCAGACTTGACTCCAAATGTGAATTTGCTGTTACGGTGGGTACGCTCAAATTACTGCTCTCTATGCTTTATTTAACCTGGGCTTGTAAACTTCCAAGTAACGGTAGTCTGTGCTCTCAAAATGCCTGGATGGAAAACCCCAGGACTATGTGCGTGGCACAGACTACAAACATATGGGGCTTGTAAAATTGACAGATTTCTCCAGGGAGAAGTAGTGGTGAACTAGGGCCATAATTAGAACGAGAACTAGGAAGATGCATAGTGATTCTGTTCTACAAAGTTGATTCTTAATCAAAGTCTAGGACTTTTGTGAATGTAAATTCCTCTACTTACTACCTTTTAAAGTATACATACAGATCAATGTTGACAACTGAATGACCCTTTTCTAGAATTATTTCTCTTTGTAGTGAATTTGAGATTCTAAACTGATTTATAAGTTGTCTATACTTTACCTTCAAGATGTCAAATTCTTCTTTGGATAAAGTTAGACTGTATTAATTTTCTTTTTTAATGAATATAGATTACCCTTGCCCTTTTTGTTTATATAAACTTATTTACACAAAAATCTAAAGTGCAAGAGAGAAATGATTTTGCATTATGTCCAATTTTAACCATTAAAGATGGAAAACAATAAGGAGTCCAACTAGGAAAATGAGATTACATACATAAAATTTATTATTGTGTTATGTACTTAAAAAATTATTTTTTAACTGAAAGAAGCAAGAGTTGTAAATACATTGGGATTTAGATAACACTTTTTTAAAGACCTGGGCTTTATCTCTAGTATAAGAAATAGTACAAGAACGCAGCCTGGATTTTCATGGTAGCACCAGATTCTAAGAGTATCTTTGAACAACTCTCACACTGATAGACCATGGTTTGAAAAATGAAGCCACAGAAAGGTTTACTTGAACGAAACTTCAGAAAAATATACAAATATACATTGTTTTGTTTTGCTTCTGCGTGTTTCTTTAAAGCCTCATGTTCTTCCAAAATATCTTTTCCTTCTATAGCCACACGTCTATCTGTGAACAAGGCTTTCAGCTTGAGAGGTGGTTAAAAGGAGGAGTAAGGGTTTTACCAAAGCCTACAACACTCTTATTCATGTTAAAGATCCCATAGAGAAGAGTTTTCTAGAATGTCCTTATAATATATAGTTTTGCATTTATTTCTGTTTAAAAGACCGATAGCACAGAAAACAGCTACCTGACAAGTCCATAAATCTATTCAATTAACCTATCAGAGGCTTCAAGAAGTCCTGTAGTAGGGAAACCTGTTTACCTTGGTTGAGTATAGCGTTCCCAACTTTATAGATGCTGTAACATTTATTCACGTGGCAGCGTCTATTTGAGGAATTGCCAAGAATGATAAAGTTGAAATGGGAAAAATTGTTCTCAAATTCCATATAAGTCTTCAAAGGTCAATATATCACAATCATAAGGTACTTTACAGTTTACAAAAACTTTCAAATGTGCCATTTCATTTCATTTCTATAAATATCTTAGGAGCTAGAAAGGGCGAGTATTAATCACATCCACTTTGAAGATAAAGTAGTTAAAGTTTATGAAACTTAAGTGAGGTCTCCAGTTCCAGTGAAGATGAAGTAAGCAACTCCATTGTGTCTCTCCAGCTGAAAGCGGCCCAAAACCCTTCAGAGAGTACTTGGAGTAGCGTTATGAGAACTCTAAGTAAGTGGCAGCAGGTGGCTTAGGGAAGAAAAACAGAACTCAAAGTACAAGCAATCAGTGGGAAGTTTCCTTGTTTTCTTCTTTTTCCACCCATATTTCCTTGTCTTTGAGTCGGCGCAAATCCCAGAATACTGTACTAGGCATGGACAAAAAGAACTCCAAGAGAAATTCCTCTCTGTTTTGGTCTTAAGACTCGCATGTGGAGCCTCTAGAATACAGAGGGAGTGGGGAGAAGTCCCTGGCCTTTCTTCTTTCTCTCTTAGCTTTACTTCCAGTAAGCCCCACTCCTGAAGCTACAACGTTGTGATGGTGGCAGTGGCAGCCAGGCGGGTACGTGAGGGGAGGAGAATCCTTCTCCAGAGGAGGAAAATCTCCATTTTCTTCTTCTATCCTACTGCCACTCACATCTGGAAGCAGAAGCAGGCTCAAGACATGCATGCAGGGTAAGCAGGTTAGTGGAAGACCAGGAAGAAGGGACTCTGGGAGCCAGACAGTCTGGGGGAGGCTGTGTAGAAGAGGACACTCAAGAAAGGACCTCAAAACATTTTATATGAACCCTTCGGCTCACCACTAAGCTGGGCAGTGGATCTGACCCCAAACAGTATATCAATAGCTTTGAGAACCAAAGTAGGAAGTAGACTACCAGCCAGGCCACAGACTGCTCCCCAGATGGCACACCTGCAGGAGAGACCTGGATAACATCGTGAAGGCTTTGAAAAGTGTACTGACATCTGAATCACAGTCCACATAAGGCATGTCAGAAATTTTAGCCAGCACCTAACTGACTCAATTGCTTACTAAAACAAACCAAAACAGCAATAATAAAGCATTCTCCACAGGATTTAATCAAGGCCCAGACTTCATGACTTAATATTCAAAATGTCCAGCATCCAATCCCAAATTATTTAACATACAAAAGAATCAGAAAAGTCTGACAAATTACCAAGGGAAAAGAAATCAACAGACATTAACCTAATATGAACCACATGCTGAATTGTCAGGTAAGACTTTAAAGAGACTATTATAAAATCCTCAAAGAAGTAACAACAAACGTTCTTAAAATAAATGGAAAGATAGAACGCTTCATCAGAGAAATAGAAGGTATAAAGGAGAACCAAAGGAAAATTTTAGAAGTGAAAAATACAATCGCTGAAATAAAAAAAAAAAACTACTGGATGAGCTTGGGTAAAGACACAAACTTACAAATTCAAGTTCAGAAAAGCCCAAACAGGACAAAATCAAAGAAATCCATGCCTATCCACATTGTAATCAAACTGATGAAAACCAAAGATAAAGAAAAAATCTCAAAAGCAGTCAGAGAAAAATAATGCATTACATATAGGAGAACAACTATTCAAAACAATTGTAGATTTTTCCTCAGAAAGAAGGCAATAGACCAAAAATGATACTGTACTGAAAGAAAAGAACTGTCAACCTAGAAGTCTCTATCCAGTAAAATTAATGTTCATTCACAAATGAAGATGAAATAAAGACATTCTCAAATGAATGAAAACTAAGAGATTTCATCACCAGCAAATCTGCTATAAAAGAATTGCAAAAGGAAGTTCTTAGGTGAAAGGGAAAAGATACCAGAGGGAAACACGGAACTTTGGGAATAAAAGAAGAGTAAGACAAGTGGTAAATACCTGCATAAGTATAACAGACTATTTTTCTTTGAAGTTCTTTGAATGGTTGAAAGTAAAAATTATAGCATAGTCTGATGGCTTGTTCAATGAACATAGAGTTTACGAATACTACAACTAAAACATAAAGGAAATATGGTGCTAAGGTTTCTACATTTGACTTGAAATGGTAAAATGTTAAATCTAAGTAGTTGTGAAAATTGAAGTATGTATATTGTAATACTTAGAGCAACCACTGGGAAAATATACAAAAGGATATATTCAAAAATCTAATTGATAAGTTAAAATGGAATACTTAAGATATGCAAATAACCCAAAAGAAGGCACAAAGAGTGGAAGGAAAAACAGAGAGACCAACAGAAAACAAAAAATAAAACGGTAGACTGAACTCTAAGCATATCAATAACTACTTTAAAGATAAATGGTTTAAACACACCAGTTAAAAGACAGAGTTGTCAGATTGGGAAGAGAGAGAAAAATATATGTAGTCTATAAGAAACATTTTAAATATAGTGATATGGGTAGACAAAAAAGGAAAAGGATGATAAAAGCTAAAATATACAAATACTAATCAGAGGAAAACTGGAATGCTTATATTATTATCAACGTAAATTTCAAAGCCATGAAAATTACCAGAAATAATGAAGCACAATGCATAATGATAAAAGGGTTAATACATTAAGAAGACGTAACAACGCTAAGTGCATGCACCTAACAACAGAGCTTCAAAATACGTGAGGAAAAATGGATAGAACTGACAAGAGAAACATGTAATCCACAATTGTTCTTGGAGATTTCAACACTCCTTTCTCAATAATCAATAGAACTGGTAGACAAAAAGTCATAGGATATAGAAGACCTGAACAACAGCATCAATAATTGCGCTGATTGACATTCATGGAACGCTTCACCCAACGACAGCAGAATACTCATTCTTTTCATGTGCACGTAGAACACGCACCTGGAGAGACCACATCACAGACCATAGTACAGACCTTAACAAATTTAAAAGAATGGTAATCATACAAATCATGTACTCTGACCCTGAACTTATCATACACTCACCATACGACGCAGCAATCCACTCAGCTATTTACTCTAGAGAAATGTACCTTTATGGTTATGCAAAACATGTACATGAATATTTACAGAAATTTTATTCAGTCACCTAAAACTAGGAACAACCTAAATGACTTTCAATAAGTAAATGGATTAAAAAACTGTAATTCATACATACACTGGATTACTACTCAGCAATAAAAAGGAACTCTGTATACACACAACGGTATCCATGAATCCCAAAAGCATTATGCTCAGTGAAAGAAGCTATTTCCAAAATTACGTGCTGTGTGATTCCATTTATATGACAATCTAGAAAAGGCAAAACTATGTGAAAGGAGAAAAGATGAGTTTGCGTCAGCAGTAACGAGTACGGGGAGATTTTAGCTACAAAAGGGGCAACAAAAAGCAATAGTTTGTTGCGATGCTATGTTCTATATTCTGATTATGGTGGTAGTTACGGGAATTTATACGTATGTTAAAAGTTATAGAACTGTACATCAAAAACAGAAAAGTTAAAAAGAAAACAAAAAACCTTAAGTGAGTTGTCCAAGATTATGTGACTTTTATGTGATGAGTCAGAAGAAAAGGCAGGTGCTTTTGTGCTGGACCCTCAAATATTTGTTGAAAGAAATGAAATGATAAACGAAACAGGATCCTACCAGGGTATGTCAGTAATTTGGCAATATTTCAATTAATTTTAAAAACTGTAATCACAAGTTTGCATGTATTTAAATAACACTTTATACCTTTCAACAATCCTTCCTTCGTCAACAGTCTCTGCCATGTGACTGCAGTCTCTCCTCCTAAAGGATCCAAGTATACTTCTCAACCCCTACATTTGGGTTCAGCTGTACGACTTGCTTTGGCAACAGTATAAGCGGGAAGTGATGATGTGCCAGTTCCAAACCTAGACCCTAAGAGGCCGTCTGTATTTCCACTTGCCGTCTTATACTTCCATCATTGTCAGGACGAAAACATGCTATGGTGAGCCTGCTAGGTCTGGGAGGGAAATGGGAGATTCGTAGCAGAAAAAATCCCATTAAACTGAGCCCAGGCATCTCACAGATGCACGAGATTGCATTATTGTAATTTTAAGCACTGTGTTTTGGGAGTGGCTTGTTACGTAGTCTTGTGCAGCAAAGGCTAAACTGTATCTTCGAAAGGCACAAGCTGATCTCTAGTCCCGGACAGGACCCCAGTTTTAGGGGAACAGCAATGAGAGTCAAGATATCTAGGAAGGTGTTCAGATGAAAGGAACAGACAAATCCAGTTCTAGTATAAGAAGCATACGATTTCTCTATAGGCTCAAAATAAAACTTGGTTAACAGATCTGAAAGGAAAATGTCAAAGCAAAATGTTACCTTAACATAAGCTTCATTGTTAACTTGTTACTTGATCTACATGGGGCTCTTAAGCAGAGACAGGATTAGAACTGAGTTGAAAGCAAGCAAGACTGAATCTCTAGGTGAAAGTTTAACATATACAGAAATAGAAAAAGATGATGGGTAGCGGAGGAGGGAGGAACGTCTTTGTGGCAATATAAAGAGGCCTCTGTATGGATGAGCTTTGTTTCTTCTTTTGACTTGGCCATCAAGAGAGCTTAATGATAAATTTTGCATGCAATTACAATAAACTTCCTCTCAATGTTTTCCGACCTTTCTTCATTTTTATGGTATTAACGTTATTCCTTTGGACTATCTCTAATTCATTTTAAGTGGGTGTAAGAGATACTACAAATATCCGTGTATGATGCCTTAGCCTATGAACTATAGTGGGTGTGATAGCTATTATGAATATCAGTGTATGATGCCTTAGGCTTCAAAACCATAAGTCATGATCATCAAGAACGTACTCAATATACCAAGATAACGAGGGATACTCCGTGAGGGCTGCTTCTTGCCTTTTAAACAAAGAGCCAATAATATTGATTTTTATGAAATTCTAGTTGACTATACTGCAATCTTAACAACTTTGAAAAAAAAATGCCTTTGCCAAACGACTCAGAGACGCAAATTTAAATAATTGCAGTTGTTCTTCTTAACTCTTACTCAACACTGTGATTGATTCCAGATGTGCCAGATTGCAAGTTTTCTGCTGCCAAACTTTCTGAAACAACAGTCCTTTTAACAGCTGAAAGATATCAAAAGTCAAAGGTATAAAAAGTAATTTAATTTGGATATGTCTTAAAACCCAGTATTTTAAATAAAAAGAGAGTCAACTAGCATAGAATGGATGCATGTTTTATTGCAAAGACTTTGAATTTGAAAAACCATTCTTGTATCCCATGCTTACCGGGCTAGGTCATTTGCTATTGATGATCATCCAAGTTTATTCAAAGTATGATCTTAGGATGCTTCGATATACAGAACACATTAACCAGATGATATTATGCATAAACCCAACAATATAAGAAATATTAAACTGAAGTTAATCTTTATACTTCTTCAAAATCCTTTCCAAACTTTTCTAAACATTTATGGACATCAATAGTTAATTTAGTGTTCTAACTTTGTTGAAGACTGGCAACAAATGTTGCCATACTTCCAAACGTATAAAATTACATTTGGAAATTCTGGGAATCCTAGCGTCAGAGATAATTAAACTGGAAAGTGTGAAAGTCTGATATTTACATTCAAATTAAAAAATTGCATTTATATACAGGTTGAGAGAAACCTCCTTTAAGAGCAAAACTAATTTGGTTACACATTAGAATCACTGAAGGACTTCAAAAATACCTGTGCCTGGGCTTTGCCCCCCGAGATTCTGGTTTATTTGCTCAGGGCTAGAACATGGGCATCAGGATTTTTTAAAAGCTTCCCCAGGTGATTTTAATGTGCAGCCTGGTTTGAAAACCACTGATCTACCGTTTTCTTTTAAATCATTGTGGGATGACCCCTATAAAACATGATGAAATCTTAGGCTTTATTTCTAGAAGTGCAGTGACCAGACCAAAGGAGGTAATGAGAACCACTGCGGTAGTCATGTCCTGTTCCAGGTAACACGCTGTAAAGTGTGATGTTGACCAAGGAGAGAGAAGCAGGGTGTCACAGAGGACCAGATGATGAGATGCCTGTGAAAACCTGAAATGTTTATCTTGGAGAGCAGAGTTAGGAAAATTACAATCCATTTGCATTGCTAATACACAGAAAAGGCATTTAGCTTAGTCTGTGTTCCTCCAGAAAGCAGAACTAGAGCCAACAGGAAGAAGTTAGGAGGGCCACTGATAGCAGCTCGATATTAGGAAAAGCATTCTGATAGCTAGGGCTTCTCATCCACGGATGAGCAATCTGCAAAATGCCCAAGCAGAGCCCAAGGGGTCTGTCATGGACGTGGGAAGGAGGTTAGACTACAGGGTCTTTTCTTTCTTGTTGTACAAATAACTTGAGAGAACATCTTGAAACTTCAGGAAATCTCTCAAACCGTGTCCTGGTGTTTTTGGAACCAAAGCAGAAGAAACACTGACTGAGGGACCCAGACTATTGGCTGGAGTGAAAGCTGTGTACCATCACGGGCTGCTGCTTCCTTGTGCGGTCAGACGAGGTCTCACATTAGTGCTGGTCACGTCTCTGGATGTAGTACACCCTCGGGAGAAACTGGGTATTTTTTTCTTTCAATATGGAAATTTCAAGATTTCACTTTGCCATTTAACAATTGATCATTTTTCACTTAACACCATTAATTAGCTGAAAATTAGCTGGAAATTCTCATGCAGTAAGCTAAGCATAGGTTAGAAATATTGTGGTGGTAGAAATAACCTATCTTTGTTACAGAAAAAATAATTCAATGACAGTTGTTAAAGCATAGTGAGGCAAACTTTATTCAGAACCATTGCAATAGGTATAGGGATTTTGCAATGGGGGAGAGAGATTGGGCTCAACTTGGAATATAGCACGGGCAAGTGGGAATTGATGGCCAAGAAGCCGGGTCAGGGTTGGGATATGGAAAATTCCTAAGAGGAAACATCAGGGAAAGCGGGGTTCTAGCTAAACCCACCTAATAGCTTTCTTACTGAAGGCAGGCTAGAGTGATCAGACATCACCTAGGGGATGGTGGAGGATGAGGACCCCAACTAGATATCAAGGTGATCAGATAGCAAGGGTAGAGGGTTCCCGTCAAACTGCGTTTTACAAGGAAGGGCAGAGATGGGCCCAGGAGAAGGTTCAGGAGCCTAACTAAAGTTTGGCCAAGCAGAGAATCTTTGTCATCTTCAAGGGCTGAGCTAAATCAGATCTTCCCAACCTTTGCTGCATACTAGAAGCATTTAGAGAGCTTTTAAAAATAACTAATCTCCTGACTTCACCCCAGAGAATGCAATTTAATAGGCCTAATTGGGGGTCACAGCATTAAATGCTTCTAAAAACTCCCAGGTGATTCTAGGAGGAGGCCAAGGCTGCGACTAACTAAACTACTTAATCTCTGAGGCACTTTAACCCTTCAGGATTCAAATATATATAGTGTTTGTTTAAAAAAAAAAAAAGTAAGAAAATTGTAGCCATAATCAGCACTCCAACAAAAAGTTTACAAAGTATGGCAGGCCATTCCAGTTGGGGTTGGCTTCCTGAAGAGTTTTGTAAATTTCCAAGATGCAGTCATTGAAGGCTTGCGCCTCATTTTGGGCGACATGAACTAGGAGCAGAACGACAAAATGATGTTGAGTGAGAGAATCAGCTTTCGCAAAGATTGCAACAAACTAAAACTCTAATTTAAAACTAATAAATAAAATTTAATTTAACAGCACTCTATTCCTGGCTCACTGAAAACAAGAACATAAGTAGTGGAAAGTAAAGGCATGGCCCAATAGCTTCCAGTGTGAATGAAAACAAAATTTTACCTGACTGTAAAATGTCAGCAATACAATACAGCTGCCCACTCCCCACCAAGAGTAATCTGATGTTAAATTGTACTAACAAAAACCCAAAATAGGAGTAAGTCCTCACTTTGTTTCTATACCATTTACATTTACCCACCATACTGAATTCAGATCTGGACACCACCATGGATGTATGGACAAATCATTCCAAGTTGAAAGGAGAGTGTCTGAAGTGATATCAACACTGTGAAATCAGCAAGCCACAATCAGTAGAGGGGAGCATCCAAAGGCAGTCATACAGGGACTGGTGAAGAATCTGGCATTTGTAGTATGGAAAAGATAACAGGGTGAGACAAAGGGAGGTGGAGGGGAGAGAGGGAATGGTTGTGATTACTGCTGTTAAATATGTGAAAGACAAGCTCATATCAGAAGACATTGATTTTTTTCACATCATTCCCAAATATGCAAATATAAACTTTAAGTAGAAGTTACAAGACAGATTTTCACACAGTTAAGAAAAAGCTTTGCTGTTTCTGTATCAGGATTCAGTGACCTGTCTATCACTGGATTGTAATGCAATGATGATGTCTAAGTCATGTCTACGATTTTAGGTACAATGATCAGCATGTAAGAGACACCTAATAAACAGTCATTGAATGAGGTTTTGAAGTACGGTCTGGATGATCACCAACCAGGAAAGTGTGAAAGGGATTTGTGTAGGCTGGGAGTGGGGCAGAGATGGGACTACTCAGCTTTTAAGACCACATCCAATCCTGAGATTCTATTGTTAGGTGATACAAATGAAATCACTAGACCCTAAAATAACTCTAGGTTTTATTATTTTAAAATCAATACATATCTAAATCTATCTTCTACAAATAAACTATGTATATTTTCCTCAAATATGTGATTGGGGTATTAGTCAAGTAAAAATAAGCTATCTTGTAAGCATCAAAACCTCAGTGGCTTAAGATATAAAGCTTTATTTCTTTCTCACACGCATCTGCTGTGGGACTGACATCTCTTCAGAAAACTCCCTTCCAAATAGTGACCCGGGATCCAGACATCTCAATATATATGCTTCAAGGGTCGCTCCAATGGGCTCTTAAATGCTTGGCCTTGGAAGTGATCCACATCACTTCTGCTCACAGGCCATTGGCCAAAAGCAGTCACGGGGCCCCACCTAACTGTGAGTGGGTGGGAAATCTGGGAAGCACATGGCTATTCAGTGAAAAGTAAACGTAATGGTCACAAAAGTAAACCATCTTGGAAGATTTAGATTCTGGCCTACAAGTATCTGAGAGCCGATACCAATGAATCATGTCGCAAAGACAACTACATACGCTGCACTTCTTGTTCTGTCCTCATTTTAGACCTTAAAAAAATAGTGTAACACTGGACTAAATATTTGCAAGAAAGTTTGTTGAAGGATGAAACGGTTTGAAAAACAGTGCACACAACGTGCTTTCCAAAAATAATAGAATGATCTGAAATCTTAATGCCAAATGTTCCAAATTAGATGTAACTCCTCTAATCGATGACGAGTTAGATGTGGGTTTATGTCTATTTTTCACATTCTTACTCTGAAATCTAATTAGATTGATTACATGATTAGATTGATTATAACTCCTGAATCTCATTGCTCTCTCCCAAGTCTATATTACCTTACACACTTGAATTCACTGTTTTGTTAACTTTTAGATGTCTCAGATCTGCCAAATCCTTTTAAACAGTTAAAAATATCTCCTTTATATTTATATAAAAATACTACTTCCCAAGTCTGTTTTATTCAAACTATTACTTACATGCAGTCAAGAAGTTTCGAGGTTCTGTTTTTTTTCTGACATCACCCCAGTTACAGCTCTCCTAAACATTTGATTTTTTGAACAGATTCATACAGGTTCATCCTTCTGAATTTATAAAGTTTTAATTCCATTATTTATCACATTTCTACGACCATACTGAATAGATGTTAAAATGGTGTTTGGTTAAAATCAACAAGTCACACCCAATGAGCAGAGCAATCTGTCACCATGGTAACAACAGTCGTTCCAGTAAAAATACGCAAGGCCACTCTCTCCTTGGCATTTGAGAATCTACTGTTGTCATGTTTCTATTTTAGAACAATTTTTCAGTTTAAAGTGGGATGATAAAATATGAGTTTTTAGTCAGTATATAGATATAATGCTTTTTAAAGCATTTTACTAAGAACTGTTTTATGATGTATAAAACCAAATTCATTCAATTCAGCATACTTCCTGGAAGTCTAATACACACATGGCCACTAAACAGGTTCCTCATAAACTGACCACTCCCTGTCTCCATCCTTCAGACAGAATGCCGAGGATAACAGTGATGTCAGTTTATTTTTATAAGATCTTAGTACATCACTCTATCCACCTCGGGGCCACCTACAAATCCCTTAATTCAGGGCCAATCTTTCTCAAGTCTTTATCGCACACGTCATAACCAAAGTACATATAGATTTATTTTTATTTTTGGTCTATCTGTTAAATTCAAAACTCCCATCCAAAGGGATCACTTTGATTCAAATACAATAAAATCTCAGACATAAAACCAACTCCCAATTATTCATTCACACGAGTGCCTATTACATGCCAGGCTGTTTGCTAGGCTCTGAAACTGAAAAGACTACATAAGGGCCAGGCCCTTCCCCCAGGGAGCTTATGGCCTCACTGAGGGGGAATGAAAGGTACATTTATGATCCAGTCTGCTACATGCTCAGAGAAGCAGGCCCGAATGGAGAGGCAGTGTAGGCAATCTTCCCCGTTTCAGTTACCGATGCCGTGTAACAAACAGCATAGGACTTAGTGACCTGGAACGATGTCATCTTTGCCTCTCGTGGCTCTGTGGGTTGACTGCACTCAGTGGGTGGTTCTCACTTGGGGACTCAGATGTGGTTGCAGACAGAAGTCTACCATGGGGACAATGGTCATCTGAAGGCTCGACTGGGCTCGATGTCCAAATAATTCACTCACGTGGTTCCAAATGACGTAGCTCACCTTCAGACGCTGTCCAGTGTGCTCATACATGGCCTCTCCATGTGGCATGGGCTTTCCACACAATGGCACTGGATTCTAGAGGGAGTGCCCTAAGGGTGAACATTCCAAGAGATCAAAGCCACAAGGTCCCCCACGACTCAACTTGTAAGTTCTGCAGTCACTTCTGCTGCTCTCTGCTGGTTACAGAAGGCCCACCCATGGACCTGCACAAAGGCATGGACCCTGGGGGCCTGGGTCACTGAGGACCATGTTTGGAGTCTTGCTATCACAGATGCCAAATCATTTATGTTTCAATAATACATATTTTTTAATCTCCTCTCCTCTTAACTCACAGAAGATCAATAAGGAAGCTGTCTTGGGACAATACGAAAATTAATGAAGTCACTCTACACTTAGATGAGGAGCACCTGAGTCCAGTCCAGCAGCCAGGGTGCAAGGTGACCCAGAGGAGGGAAGGTGATCAAGAAGGATATGTGGTCAGCAATGGAATATGCGAGAGCTGGAGTAAAGGAGGACTACTCAGTACCCCTCCCTTCCACAACTTCAGCAGGAACAAATTTTGTTAATCCAAAAAGCCAAAACAGAGGTTATTTTCAGTTTGTCTGAATCACCCAATTTTTCCAACACAGAATCCTGTCCCCATTCCTGCACTTACTAGCCCTGTGCTGATTATGAAGAAAAAAAATTGTGATTTTCCCTTCCCTGCCACAAAGAAATTTTTTAAAATATGTTTGATGTTACAATCAAACCTGAGACTGTTCAAATATTATGTAAATTATTTTGTCTGCCAATTACTGTATCAGTTATATTTGAGTCTGACCAATTTTACACTGATTTTATTATTAGTCCAGGTTCATATTCCCTAGAGAACATAGATTAGCAGTTTACAAAGTAGATAAAGAATAGAAAACAAATTACTTCATCAGTATTAACTGGAAACATGCTAGCTATCCCTTATTTCAGAATAAAGTGTCCAATTCCTCCTTTTAAAATATCGTAGTTATCACACTACAAAAATAAAGAAGCAATTCCTGAAAAAAAACACCTCATCTCTATCATTTTTATTTATATTAGCCCTTAAGAAAAATTTTGACTTTTTTAAAAAAAAATTAAGGCTCTTGCTTTTTGCTTAAAATTTACTCTATTGGTTATTTATATTGACCACAAGATGGGGCTGTGATGTCATAATTTGGCAAGATTTATAAAATACATAAACTATTTATGGAAACAGAGGAGAATAACAATAAAACAAAGTTTAATAGGATAATCTAATTTTTCAAATATGTGCATTTTTTCTATTAATCAATTATCTAATTGTTAAATGCTCAGAAGGAAAATATGCTTTAATTTGTCCATTTCTCTCTTGGAAGTGATTGAGCTTTGTCATATATAAAATTCTCCTGAGTAGATGCAGAATTATCTGTCGTGACGGGATTTCCTTAAGGATTCTTCCAACCCTTTCACGTTACATTCCTAAAGGAAAACGTACTCAACTTAAAGCAGTGCTAACAAAAAACGTCTTTCAAAATTTTTTTAAATTATTTTATAATTAAACACACAGAAGTTCATTCAAATCTACGCGGAATTTTTTTCTCCTTCTCCATCCCTTAATTCTGTTTTTAGAATCTCATATTTACTTTGGGGTGAGGATCATTTAAATGAAGAGTACTTTCTTTAAATTATTTAGGACATGCTGATCTTTTCCATTTTATCTGTTAAAACTATTCATTAGTTGATTATTCGTGTGTTTTGTGTTGTAGTAGGCAAGAATTCCTTTCTAATTTTCAAAAGAGTATGAATATTCACATTTTTAGTCAACCATTTTTCAGCAAAGACAGAATAGCATGCCAAAACAATGTTACTTGATTTATCAAAAAAAATCACCACCTCAAAAGTCAGCAAAGAACCTACTTTTCTAAATGAATGTTTTCTAATCTATTTTAATGTATTGAGAATGAAATAAAAATATAAAGTCAATCGTAAATTTTTTTTTAAACACCTGCCAGGAAGATTTAAGATCTACCAAGTCCTCACGTCCCCAGCATGTTTATTCATCTTTCCAATTTTTATAATTCCTTTCTTTAGAATAATTTACCTATATAGCACTAGGCATTTTTAAAGTATGTCTACATGTACTGTTTTCTAGTCTTTTCCTTACTTATTTCTTAATGTATTTCTCTTCAAATTCAATCCAAAATTCACTGCTTTCATGAAAGACCTTTACACATTTCCCCCTCTCTCTCCCCAATGGCTTTTTCAATAAAGAGTTATTCTAAAAGAAATCTGTAGCTTGCTATTCCAAAAAACCACAGACAAACAGTGCTATCTGACAAAGCCTGCTTTCACGAAGTCCTAAACACTTTAATTTTCCAAAACAGTCAACATCTAGTCAAAGAGAGGTATTTACTGAGACGGACTCTCAATGGTGGCTCAAAATTTTATTTGGCTTTCCTGCAACTTGAAGAGATCTGCTGAAGTGACCACTCCATATTCCAAATGAACGGCAGGCCCTCAAAAATGTCATACAAGATGGGCTTTAAGGCTTAGCACGCAGGGAAATTAAGCAGTGCACACAGGGGCTGGCCCCAGGGCCTAGTGGTTAAGTTAGGTGTGTTCTGCTTCAGTGGCCCATGTTCGATTCTCGGGCGCAGACCTACACCGCTCATCAGTGGCCATGCTGTGGTGCCAACCCAAATACAGACGAGAGGAAGACTGGCACAGATGTTACCTCAGGGTAGATCCTCCTCAGCAAAAAAAAGGGTGAATATGACAGGAAAATAGGAGTGGAGGAATATATAAAGAGATTCCGTCATTAGGATGGACCACTCAATTCATATGCTGTTTTCCATATTTTTATTCTATAGAGGGGCATTTGATCTCTCGGGTAAGTTACCAATATGGGTAAATTACTCATGTTTTTCAAAAATGAAACAGAATGGAGAAAATTAATACACTAGACTATTAAAGTATCCATATTACAGGAAAATATTCACATTGATTCCTATGCACATTAAGAATTAGGAAAAAAATGCCACCATGATGATGAGCATCTAAAGCCCTTTGATAATATATGTATACACACACACAGGCACCTACAAACACAAATAGTTGCTATTAATATCAATACTTCCATTTATTAAAATTAAATTAGTTAGGGGGCTAGCCCCGTGGCCAACTGGTTAAAGTTCCACATGCTCCACTTTGGCGGCCTGGGTTCACGTATTCAGAGCCCAGGTGTGGACCTACTCATCAGCCATGCTGTGGAGGCATCCCACACACAAAGTAGAAGAATACTGGTACAGATGTTAGCTCAGGCATAATCTTCCTCAAGCGAAAAAAAAAGAGGATTGGCAACAGATGTTAGCTTAGGGCAAATGTTTCTCACACACACAAAAAAATTAAATTAGTTATGGGAATTCTCTCCTTTTCTTTCTACTGCTTTTTCTTTAAATAAACAATTGATATACAATTATATTTCTTTGGTAAAATATTTCACTTCTGCAAAAACTTAAAAATAGCAATGATATGATCTAGCACTTCCACTTCTGGGAATATATCCAAATGAAACAAAATCATTATCTCAAAAAGCTACCTCTACCCCTATGTTCACTGCAGCATTATTTACCATAGCCAAGACATGGAAACAACCTAAGTGTCCACTGATGGATGAATGGATAAAGAAAATGTGTATATATATATATATATATATACACACACACACACAGTGGAATATTATTCAACCACAAAAAAGGAAATACTGCCATTTGCAACAACATGGATGAGCCTTGAGGGCATTATGCTAGGTGAAAGAAGTTAGATAAAGAAAAATAATGCATAATCTCACTTATATGTGGAATCTTAAAAATGCGAACTCACAGAAACAGAGAACACACTGGTGGTTGGTAGAGCTGAGCATGTCTCAAGCTGCAGCTTTCTTGATCCACCAAATCCTGCCCATTTTCCATCTTTCAAACTTTCTGATATACTTATGGGACTTTTTCATCCTTTCCCTCACTAATTGTGATTTGTTCTTTTTTAAAGTACATTTTATATCATTTCATGTAATCTGGGATAAAAAGGAAGACAGAAAATGTGCTCAGTTGATTGCCTTGATCCAATTTCTGGAAACATGGCATGAGATTAAAATAGTTACTGTAGGTCACCACCCATGCATACCCCAACTGTAAAGAACCAGGATCTGGTAGACATCTTTCCTCTGAAGTGCACACAAGGGACACTAAGCTGGGTTGCACGGGTAGAACTCCACTTTTTATAAGCAAAATCTGTTCTGATTTGTTGGCATGCATGACATAACCAGGTACGTATTTGGAATACCATCCCTGAAGTATAATAATATAATTCACAAATAATGACTAAAATGTCTCTTCAAGTTGATGGATAGCAGGAATTTACTTTGGGTATTAAGTGCTACCAAAGAAGAGAAAAGAGATAGAACCCAGCTTCTTATTCCCGAAGTCCATCCCCAAGTACTTATAAGACCTTCTGCATCAGCATATCCTCAGCACCTGGAATAGTGCCTGGCCCACGGTAGGGACTTGAAAAACACCACTGAATAAATATATATATATATTGAATAAATGTTTTGTCTCTATTTCCTTACTTGTAAAATGTTAGATCAAACCCATAATCACTTTGAAATTAGAGATCTTACAATTCAATTTCTAATTCAATAAATAGAATCTTCATTTAAGTTATGATATTAGTAAATGTACCAAGCAAAATGATAGCCTAGGGGCTGGCCCAGTGGCGCAGCAGTTAAGTGTGCACATTCTGATTTGTTGGCCCGGGGTTTGCTAGTTCGGATCCCGGGTGTGGACATGGCACCACTTGGCAAGCCATGCTGTGGTAGGCGTCCCACATATAAAGTAGAGGAAGATGGGCACGGATGTTAGCTTAGGGCCAGTCTTCCTCAGCAAAAAAAGGAGGATTGGTGGCAGATGTTAGCTCAGGGCTAATCTTCCTCAAAAAGAATAAAAAAATGATAGCCTATTATATCCAGATATTCCTTCAGGCTACTCCATAATAAATTCTCTTCTAAAGACAAATCACCAATAATAAAGAAGACAACAGAAACTTATTTTAAATTATTTTATTTTTCATAATTTTCTAACACATGGTGTTAGAAAAATGAATCTTGGCACCATGACTTAGACCTTTTTTTCAAGTTTAACCTTTAAGTTAAAAACAGTAGCTACAATAAGGATATTTAAACCTTACTCAGAGAAATGGTGAAAAATCAAGTCACAAATTTTTTTGTGTTGGGGAATATTTTAAAGTGGAATAAAGGGAAGGTACTAAAAAGAGTAAGAAGGATAGAATGGAGATTATGCTGGGAAGACAAAAAGGGAAGACGCTCCCTAAAGAGAGAATATGGAGAGAGACAAAGGGCAAAAGGAAGAAGAAAGGCTCATCAACTTTATTTTCCTGATATAAAATTCAAGTACTCAAAAAAATTTTTTTAAAAATCATAAAATGCTGCTACTAATCTCAATGAAATTTTCTTTTTCCTCATTATTTTCTAGAATTAAAAAAAAAAAAACCTGTTTTGACTGAAGGACACTTGATCTTAAGTCAATACTTGATGTACTTTAACAAACGGAACGGCTTGAAAGCTTCCCTAAATCTAATATCTCCCTAACATAATCCGCCTTGGAAAAGTCTTCTGAAGGAACAGAGGGCTTGATCTCGAACACAAATGCAAAAAATATCTGTCGCACAATCTAAACAAAAACGTTTCCAACTCGATCTGGGCCTCAGTCATGCTTTGTACTAAGTTTCTTGAGGAAAAACACTGTGTAATATTGATCTTTGTATTCCTTCAATAGCTACTGTAAAAGTCCCTGCGCAGGAGGTCAAAAAAGTACTTACACCATTAGTTGCATACAAATTCAGTTAGAACCCCAGTTTTCCAATGTTTCAAAAATTGCCAATTTTCATTTATATTCATTTTGTCTACAAGTTGATAAATAAAATTCTTCCAGGCTTTTAATAAGAAAATACTATTAGTCTCATTCATCACTTGTACATTTGTACCTGAATATTTTATCAACTGAAACACAAATTCAGAAAATTGTCATTATTTTCAGAGACATTAAGGCACAGAAATAAATATTTGCTTTTACTTTTTTTTCTTTCTCCTCTTCAATCTGTGTTTTAAGGCTCAGAGCAGACATTAAGAAACATCAAAGAATTTTTTGTAGGAAGTTTTTCAAATGTTTGGCCCAACGTGAAGCTGTTCTGTTGAAGTTATTTAAATACTCCTCTCAACTTTCAAGCACATCTTTCAAAGACACGTTCATGCCAGTCATCCACTCCAAAAGAAAATTCAATCCAATGAGCAGTAAATAACTTAGGGATCTATAAATGACACTGCGATGTATCTTGTTCCATTTTTGACAGGAAGCCCTTCATGCAGATGCGTGAGTCTCCCTGGATGCATGAAACTCCAGCCTTTCCGCGGCGATTCGATAGAGCAATTGTACCTTAGAAATTTGCATCCACCTCCCTGAAAGAGACAGAGCAAATAAATGTATCAGTTCATTCTGTTTAATTCTTTATCAGTGGCAAAACTCAAATTATGCCATGTAAGTAGAATCTAAAAAAAATAAGGCAAAGGCTTTTTCATAATGACTTATTTCTTGTGAAAAATGTAAAAGGTAAAAGCCATAATTACCTGAAAATCTTCTCCCACATTATTGAGCGCGATGTTGATGGTAAACGTAGAAGCGTCGTGATGAGGGCGGAGAGAGCGCTGTCTATCAGGGGAATATTTCACCACGAAATTCAATAACGCAAACCCCTAAAAAAGCAAAGCAAACCAATGGATTTGCTTATCAATAAAAACATAAAACTGCCCATTTGTGTAAACCTGGTAGGCGGTAGGCAGGGGGATGGAGGATAACTACCTTCGTATAATAGCCTGCAAAGACCTTCAGTGTAACGGGTGCAATAAACTCCCGGATAAAATGGAGCCATACATTCTCCAGATCAATTTGCTTCATGTGGATATCATCAGTTGGGACATTTTCATAACCGCCAGATATACGGCTATCCTAGAAACAACAGTAATGACATCATAAAAGTGTGGTCCACGTGCAATTCACATTTATATTATCTTGGAATTTTTTTCAACCACAAGATCATAATAGACAATAAAAATAACAGTTGTTCAATTATGGTGTACCATCTGCTTTAATTGCAAAACTATCAAAATCACTTAGACAACATGGCTTTGCAAATGTATCAATGATGAAGCAAAGAGTTGCCAAGTCAGTAGATTCCTTTCCTACTTATTTAATGTATATGGGAGCTCGAACTATAAAGTAAATAAAATGGATTTCCAAAGCCCTCTTGTGACCCCTGAAAATTGAGTTTTTTACCGTGACCCTTCAAGCAGCCTTAGCTGTTTGATGGGCATAGATTCAGCGTATGTGCCCTTGGACGAACTACCACTGAACACAAGCTTTCCTTGCTCTGCTCCTCACTTCTACTTTCTGGCACCCAAAGTCCTTTCATGCCTGCGTGTCACTACCCTGCCTGCAACATGCTGATTTCACATTCTTCCTTGTACTTTGAACTTCTGTCTCCCTGATCAGCCAACTAGCTTGGCTATGTAATTG